TCGAGGCTGTTATAGATTTTAAATGGGAAGCGCCGATTGGTGACTAATCAGTTTACGGGAATTTCGCGCGGTCAGATCTGGTACATCGTGAAAGTGCTGCTTCTTAAAGAACTTTCTTTGTCATGTTCAGAATTGTCAATTTCTAGAAACCGAATCAATGTGCAAGGACACGATGTATCGTGCCTGAACGCTCGAAATTTCCGCAAACTGATGACTCAATCGTAAGTAAACCGACCAAAAGTAGAAAAAGTTGAAATTTAAATATATTGTAGTTGTAAATTTGATCTATCGGTACGCGAAATTTCAGACCCGGTCGCCGATAAAATAAAATAAAGAAAAAATGTTAAAATTATATTTTTTAACATTACAGTAACAGTTACATAACAGTTACATCTGTATTATAATTTTCTACTCAACAAGATAAATGTAATATAACACCTATGTTATATTACGTTTATATTCGGTACTTCTCTCGATTAGCTAGGCTGGAACTGATAGAAGTAATTTGTCATAAAATTAGAAACGGGAGAAATATGACACGCGCGACTTATTATCGCGGGGAAGGGCGGAATAGAGCGAAGACGATTTACACCAGCCAGGTGTAACCACCGACTGCAATTTTACACTCTACAATTGACATTTTTCTTATTGCCTCTCTTTTGTCTTGGCACGTTTCTTACGGAATTAAATAAAAAATGCATCGCGCATTTCCGCGTCTACGCGCGCCTCCTTTTGCCGCGGCGCGACGACAGTTAATGACCGGTTCCTTTCTTTCATCTTCCGGTATATTCCATGCCAGACTGAGAATTGGTCCCGGAGGGGGCGGCGGAGGAAAACGGGGACTCGGGGCGGTGCGCGCGCTCGCGCGCGTTAAAGGATCGAAGAAACGTAAAAAGCCGGAAAAAAGCCGAGGGTTATCGATATGCGGGCGAAGTAAAACGGAATCGAAATGAGACAGTGAAACGTCGCTTTGACGGTACGTCGATCAAAGCGCGAGACGACGGTAAACGCGAAAATCTTTTTGTACTCGGAGAGAATTCATCTTCGTTGAGCACGTTCCTCCGCTCTCGATTATCAATCGCAGTCTCCTGAAACCATCGCCCGGAAAAATGTCGGTCCTTTGAGGCGCGAATTATGGACTCGATCGGCCCCGACGAATAGTTAAGATTGCTCCAATCTGACGAGCGCTCGTATATAATTGCACCCTTCGTCTTAGTCACGCGCTTAGTCGTCGCGAGCCACGCGTCGAACGGCTAACGACGTCGCGAGAGAAGCAGCATTCTATTTCACTATTATACCCGACCGCTTTGTGTCGCGGACAGGGACAGGCAGCACAAATCACCAACTTAATACTCTCTCTTTGAAGTTGAAATTCTTCCATTCGTCGGACGCCGATCCGTACAATTCACGCACGGTGGGCTTTGTAAACATTTTCTTCCTTCCGAGACCAAGAGACGCTTTTTCGCTAACGGGCTTTGTCCTTTGCTCCGTCTAATGCACTGCCTAATTGCGGCTCTGCATAGAGTTTCTTAAACGATACACAAATACGAAGATAAAAATTTGGCTCGTCAATTGAATAAATATAATTATGGGAAACCTGCTGTTAATTAGTGCGAAAATATTAACAAGAATATTTATGAAATGTGTCGGTTAAGTTGTTGGGTGGTTCTACTTTGATTTTCCAACTCGCCAATCGCAAATCGCTAAATTAAGTTATTGCATATTTGACGAGACGCTAATGCAAGAAAGATTAACATCTGAATTGATGATGTCATCCATTTTGCATCTGGCAACGCTTGTCTGGCGGTGCATGCGTTTACTACTACATTATCGCGCAGCTATTGGATAATTATTTATGTCTCTAGAGGCACGACGCCCATTCTATTCTAAGTTCGACCACTACGACGTACGTGAATTAATTGATAATTACTACATGCGATGGTACTAATCGGAGCTTTGACATTAAGGTGTTCAATAAAATGATATAAAATGAAAAATCATACGCGCATGACAAAGTGGATCAGTGATAAATTATTAATGAAGCAAATAACGAGATATAAAGAGAGAGAAATAGTTTCTAATATTTCTCACGTATGTACGTTAATGCGTTACTTAAAATTCCGTTAAGACCTTTTGAACAAATATTAATGAATGTAAACAAATAAATAAGAATATAAGGAAATCTAAAAAGTTGATATTACATTTACGATATACGTATTTAATTAGCATGGGCTAATTAGCACAAGTCAATTGCAAATGGAATCTGCATTTAGAGACGTAAATCCGTTGTGTTGGAAGAAAGTGTACTGCCCCTAAAATCGAGATGATAATTATCCCAATGCAATGTAGAGGGAGGGAGACAGGGGAAGGGAGACAGAGTGAGAGAAATTGCTCGAATTCATAGTGTCACACCATCGCTGTTGGCGGGCGATCGGCAGCATCGGGAAGCGACGCCCGCACGTTCGTCGCCGGTGCCGTGCGGTAATTTGAAATGCAGGAGCACGTCGCGCATTATATATTGACTGCACTACTAGCGTCTGCGATGTCGCCAGCATTTCCGAAGTTGTCCCTCACGAAATCCAACGCGCGGCGGCTGCTGGACCGCGTCGATCGCCCGTTCGCCGTCCAAGCTCTTACTTTTACTTCTTTCGGGAGTTGCCGAGTTTCGCGTAATGGAAAGTAATTTCGAGAGTAACGACGTCTACCACGAAAAGATTGCGGCGAAAGGTATCATGATCGACGCGAAGTGCCACAAAAAAGGGAATTAATAAAGAGTCGCTTCAAAACGACTTATTGGGCATTTAATTTTTTAATATCTCCGAGTACTTTCTATGTGTATTCGTATAGACAGTAACAAGGGGGTAACTTAGCCACCAGCTAAAATTTTGTTCCACTGATTACACGATTTCGTCTGATTACAAATAATCTCATCTAATTGCAAATAATTTTCTTATATGCACGGTTAAAAATATGTAACGTTGTTAAACCTCAAAGAGCTGTTAGGTCTCCTCAAAATATATTTTTCTTATTTTACTAAAAGAAGTATTTGCTTGTACAGGTAATTTCAGTTAAGATTCTAGTATTCGGCCACGTGTTCCCTTGCTTTCCACTTTTCCCACTAGTCTAACCGTGGTCTTAACGAAAAGTCATATAGCAAGTCTACACTTGCAATTAATAATCTTTATTATTTAGAACGATCACAAATGCACTGAAACGTTAATACACCTTTGCGCGCATATTTGGAACAATAAACGGTAAATACAAATACAAAATTACTTTTCGTTAAGACCACGATTTAAAAATTAACCATCGGAAACACTATTTAATTGGTTTATCGGATGGAAAATTGTTTCAGTGGATTTGTGATCGTTCTAAATAATAAAGATTATTAATTGCAAGTGTAGACTTGCGATATGACTGACCTATGGTGTACTGTAGTAAAAATGTACTGTGATAAAACTAAATAAAGCAGAAACGCGCGGTATCTGAATATCGATAATCATAAAAACGTAACGCTAGTGTCAATTAATTGATTATGAATTGTAGCGATAAATTTTTTATCGTGAGATACGTTAACACATATTGTATTGCGTTTTTCATTGATATCTAATTTAAATTATAGATTTTCACAAAGTCTGTTAATAAATTGCAGTCAGATATATTATGATCCACAGAACAAGTAAAAATTGATTACTAGATATTTATTTAGAATTTAAATTATAGACTTTCACAAATCTCTTACTAATAAATTGCATTCAGATATTTCACGGTCCGCGGAATAATTTAAAATGTTGCACTGGATATTTTTCAGGATGTTACTGTTCTCTTATTCTTGAAATGAGCGCGAAGTTCGTATGAAAGAAAAGAGCTTTCCTTTATCAGAATAATTCTGTTACTTTCGAAGTTTTGCGATAAAAAAAAACAGAAGGAGCGGACCGTCGTATCTCGCGATACCAATTGCAGACACAATCATAGTAATCAATCATAAAATGGACGAGCCGTAATGAATCGATAGACAATGTGCGTGCTATTTGCCTTGGGCCAGTCGATAGACAGATGATGGATAGTACTTGCGTTTCGAGTCCAGTCAAAAATAGCTGCGTGTAGACAGGTATAGGGAAAGGACACCGGTGTTTGCGGGGAGGCTGAAAGGAACGGAGAGCGGCGGCGGCGGGGGGGGGGGATAGACCGGAGGGCGAGCCGTTATACTAATTTGGCGGGCGCTCGTTAACGACCCCTTTGAGGTCATAACTTTTGCCGCAAGCTCGACGCGTGTGCGAGCGCGGGTAGTGGCGCGAAGCGCGCGATGTACCCGGTGTCCTTTCTGCACCGCGCGCGTCTCCCTTTCTCCTTCCTTCCCGTCGCGTTGTCGCCCCACTACCGGCGGTTTCAACAGCGTTTCAACACTACTCGGCAGTCGGTACTCCAAAAGCATCGCAGAGCTTTCGTTGCCCCCTTCACTCTGTCTCCCTTCGTCCAACCCTCCTCCCTCCCCCCCCTCCCTCGCTCGGCCCTCTCTCTTTCTCCCCGTTTCTTTCTCCCTCCGTGCCAGGGGGGCACGCACGTTACTCGGCGAGCTTTCGGGCGCATGCCCGGCCAATCAGCGCGCACGGCGCGCAACGTAATCGCGGGTTCACCAAGTGGGGATGAGAAACGTGCTCTCATCTCGCGGACGCTCCTCGAGGAGCTTTCCCGCAAGCTCAGTAAGCGCCGCGAGCTCGCCGTGGCCGGGAGCGCCTCGCGGTTGGCACGCGAATGGGTAAAATATAATCCTTGTACTCCAAGACTTATCCCCGGCGACGGGAGGCGACTCTGCTATTCTTCAAGTTCTGAAACTTCGTGCGGGGGGAAAGTTCCACGAAGGGAAGTCGCGAGTCGGCGAGTCTCGTGATACTCTCGCCGACGTTTGTTTCCCGCGAACTTGTGCGATTAGCTCGTGTCACGGCGAGACATACTACTCGGCAATTCTCCGGAAAATTGCTTTGACGGGGCGGGGGGGAGGGAAGGACGTAAAGGAATTACTCCATTAAACACCGGACGAAAGTAACTTTTTATTTGCGAGAGAAAAGGAAGGGAGACAATTTAGCTGAAGCCTCGCATCCCCTTCACGTCGTTGGATGCTTTGATCAAAGATAAAAGTTGGACTATATTCGATGAATAGGAGGAGGTCTAGTTGCGCTAAGGGGCACTTCAACTTACTTCGCTAAGTTACGCTGAGAGGATCCCGGATCGAGGAAGCTAGCCCGTGAGGAATTGCGAGGTAGCTTTCGGCGAGCTGACGTCATCTAGAACAAACAAGTAGATTCGCGGCGGGGAGGGTATTATGTCCCAAGGCTAGAGGAAAGAAAGCGAAGGCGGCAGGAGCAGCAGGAGGCAGCGGCCGGAAAAGGGGAAGGTGAAGAAAGAAGAGAGCGAGCGGGGGAGAGTAGAAAGACGTCAGAGGAAGCGTCGAAGACGGAGTAGAAGGCTCGGAAGCCCGAGCCTCGGGGTTATTACGACAGGCAAGTTAGACAGGCGAGATAGAATTTCGATCGAGGTACTTCCGGGTGCCCGTGGTGGTTAAGAGCCGCTTAATGCGATCAGCCCTAATTAGCAATCAGCTATTTCGCAATCGCAGCTCGCTTTTTCGCTCGGCGATCCTGCGTGATCTAATTAAGATACCGTCATCGCTGTCGTCATTGTCGTCGGAGGGAGGGTTGGAGGTCGATCCCGTCTCCGATGCCAGCTCGAGATACTTTCGGCGTGATTCGGCAATGATGACGGGCGCAGCATTCCCCGGGAACGTCTCCTCGCTCGTCATCGACTGATCGATCGGAAGACTTGATCCCATGCATTAATAGGAAGAGGACGAACGATGCTCGATAAAGCCACATAAGAATCGCGCGTGCCCGTTTCTCGTCGCTTTTCTTTCGTCGAGGGAGACGGAAAGGGAAGGAGCGAAGATGTGCGCGAGATCGTTGCTACTGTGCGTCCTCGGCATCATCGCTGTCGTCAACGGTAAGCCCATGACAACGTTAGAATTATAGCACGACCGTAGGTTTATCTTCCCGGAGTAGTTTTCTGTCTTGTGCGTGAAAAGGGGGGACATTTTTTTTTATGGAGAAACCTAATCGTTTCGTATAATTTGTGCTTTTAAAGAAGCGCGATTGAAAATGTTTGGCAATTTACGACAGTTCAGGTGTTTAACTGAGGGTCTTCGTTATTTTGATGATCATTGAACACATTCGTATGGTCAATGATTATTTCTAAAAGGATTAATAGGGAACGTTGCGAAACTTAGCGAGAGATTTCTGCGAGATCTCTAGGCACTATCTCAATCGTAATTGCTGTTGGGGTGAGAATTGAGGTGAGAAGAAAGACGGGGTGGGGTAGAATTGATAAATATTAAAAACGATTGTTCTTTTACGTTTATTTCAAACTCCGATGCGTCAAGAGCGTTGTCCCGCGACATGCACTTGATCTTTCCAAGCTAATTCGAAATTCGCGTGTAAATTCTGCGCCCGGCTCCGGAAACGTAAGTAAGAGCTAACCCATCATTCTTTATGTTTCTTGTTCTCCGGCGTGCTTTTCTCCGGCGCGGCGTTGACGGGCGACACGGATGGACCTCGCGGAAAAAGAACGACGCGAGGTGGAGGAAGGGACCCGACGAAAATGCTCGCTCGTCGAGCACGCGGGAACACGACGGTTTTATACATGGCCGGTTTTTATGGGCGCACGCCATACGCGCGTGCCGATGGTCGTAATCTATGTGCTGAAATCGGGGGACGACGACGGCGAGAGAGACCGGGTGGTATAGTACGATGGGGGTGAAAGAGAGACAGAAAGCGAGAGAGAGAGAGAGAGAGAGAGGGGGGGGGGCAGCGAGGTGGACGTACATTTTCGCAAAGAGTGAAAGAGGGTCACGGTAAAAGAGAAGAGAAAGAATGAGGGAGGGAAGAAAAAGCTCGGGCCAGGTTGAGGTTGTTAACGTGTGCTAACGGAGCTCTCCCGTTGTACGAACTGCGACGGAAAAAGGGCTGATATTTTGGCTGTTTCAATGTGTCGGCGACAGAAAAAAAAACCGGCCATCGACGCGACAAAAATTACGCCAGCAAGAGTCAGGGAGGGAGATGGGGCGGGGGTGGCATCAGTTTCGTTCAGGGTAAATTGAAAGACTGGCCGAATAATGATTCTCTTTTGCAGTGGTTTCAGCGCACTGTACGCATTCACCATTCGAGACTCTGTTCCCTTTTTACCATCGTTTTAAAATCCCTCTGCCGAGTAGAAAAACCGTGCAGCAGCGTGCTGTTTGCGCATTTCCGCGGGACCTGTATATCTTTTAATTGCGGCTTTTTTTCAAATACTCGAGAGCGCAATTTTCACTTCGCAGAATTTTATTGGGACGTCGTAATCGTCGGCGGGGCGCTTTAATATTAAAAAAAATAACTGTCGCGACAAGAAATCCTTGTGAAACGACCATAGGGATGATGTTAGGGTGATTTTGAAACCGCGTATACTTTATCACAATATTTTTTTCCACCTGAAAGGGTTTTGTTTGCGTGGCAGTGTTTGTGTTTGATGACCGTGTTTATATTAATTAATATAATCCGGTGCGTGGTGTACCGCGGCTTTCGCGGCTGCACCATTGCGCGGAAAAGCTAATTCCGAATACCCGCAAAAGAGAGGCGCTTTTTGGCTAGGACGTGTAACAAAAATGCAGAAATATATACATATATCGGTGTGTTGGTGTAAACGCTTCGCTCAGCGCGGCAAGATACGCCCGTTGCCTCCGCCATTGTTTGAACTCCGTGTAATTAATTAATCGTGACGTTATGCGCGGCATCACAAATATTTGAGATAAAAATGCATAACTGTATGCATCGAGCATCGTGATTAATGGCGGACATGAACGCTCGCTATGTGTGTGCGCCGAGAGAGTAGCTGAAGCAAAATTTCATTGCAATTGTAAACAGCGAAAAATAGGGAAACATTTATTAACAGAAAGCAACAATCGCGCAGTATCAAGGAAGGTAACACTATAAATATCCGAACAAACAATCAACAAGGTTGAAATAATTTAAGGGGGTCTTTAAAGAGCGGAACGAAATAGAATATAATAACATTACTGTATCTTGTTTTTCCCCTTCCCTCTTTGCTACGCATTTCGCGAGGCATTTTGTAGCTCGTGCGTCTCGTTTATCACGCACGGCGCGGCTGTGAGACACGAACAACAGGGGCCAAATCTCAGTCGCGCGATTCGATTCCCGTCCGTATACGCGCGAACTGTCGGGTATTGTCGGATTCGAACCAATCATCGTCAGCAGGCTGCGCGAGCGTGATTCCAGGCGATAGAAAGCACAGAACTTGCACGTTATATCGGTCGCCTCCGGAAATCTAGTCCTCCTCCTGGTATTGGCTATCGCGCGAAATCGGCCATCGTCCGGAGACGATCGCCGTTTCTCGGTTCGATCGGTCCGATGATGATCATGCATTTAACTTCCGGCCGTCTTAAAAGGATTTTAACCTGGAAACGGAAGTCTCGAGGTACATATGTACATATGTAGTCGTTTCTTGGCGAAATACGTATTGTATACAGACCGAATACGAAAGTCTATACAAGGCTCTGCTGGATATACAAGCCGAATTTACATCCGTAAAATGTTCGCGTAAAGTGGATAACGATACGATGATAATAACGACAATTGTCTATGAAGGGAAGATTACAGGGTAATTTGTTAGTTGACTCTCTTTCTTCCACTCTTGCCGCGCCGGCGGCTTCGTGTGAACTTGTCATTAAGGCGACAAGACGGCGGACAGCGTCACACAGTTTCAAGTATTTGCGTGCTACGTCTCTTGACCGTGACTAGAAAATCACCGGTGGCATCTGCGCACAGCGTGCGCCGCATGTTCGCGTGAACACGCGGGCTGACGCCTTTAATGACGCGCGCGCGGCGTCAGCGGGATTGACGGTTTGAGCTCTAACAATTCGCAAATAACAATTCGCTCCAAATCATTGACGGCTTGACAATGAATTACGATAAATAATCTCTCGGCCTATTCTATTGAATTACGGTAAGCGAAAGAGACTCCTGAATGTACAATTG